GAGTCCAGTGCCTTTAACCACCACGTCATCACATTTGACATGAGTATAAGTCAGTTCTGACTTTTTTTAAAGAATTATTTTATTTAACTTTATTTATTATTATTTTCCAATTTGATCAGAGAAAGACAGAGAAAGAGAGAGAGGGAAAATGGGAAAGCAATCTGCCAGGTCCAGGACTTGAACCATGGTTAGCCATGTGGGAGTCCAGTGCCTTTAACTACCACGTCATCAGCTGCTGGCCCCCAGTTCTGACTTCTTTTAGACAGTATTTTAATCTACCCACCTCCAAAATACATGCCCAGTATTTTTTATAAAAAGAGATTCATTTTTATCTTATGATGGACTTACATTCTTGGTCAGATAGTGTTACTATCTCTCAGTTGGAGAGACATGAGCTTTCAGTGATACAAGCTCCTTAAATTAAGTCTTATCTTTTGTAATACCAGACTAGTCCTTTAGGAAGTATTTGGCTAGATATGTAGTTACCTGCTTCCTTCCCATGTCCTTTATGGGATAGGAAAGTTTTGAATGCCTATTGTGTATACCCTCCAAAAGATTGAAGAGCAAAGGAAATGCTAGCCCAAACCCCTTTCATAAATGTGTGCCTCTATAAAAAGGACTATGGGTCAGATATGATTGATTTGGGGTAATTGTGAAAACAAAAACTCATTTTATGTGTTGGAGCACTGTACTCCCAGGACAATTCCCAGGACCCCAGTGGAATGGATAGAATAAGTGCAGGAAGGAACTCTTCCTTCCGAGAATTCACTTATCATGCTCATACTGACATGTACAATTTTAGTATACAACATAAGGTTTTTTTCTTTCATGCTTCCCATCATTTCTTAATCTTAAGATCCTCATGGTCAACAAGTACAATATTTATGAAATTTACGGTTTCTCAAATTATTTCAATACAGGCAGTATGGTTATTCCCATTCCAAAAGCACTATAAACGTTTAAAGAACTGAAAATTCTAGACTCAGTATATCACATCTGTCAATGGTTAGGCCTGTGAGCTTGTGTTCTTTCTTTATTGCTGTTTTTGCTGACACCTTAAGTTAAATTATTAAAGAAAAATAAGCCCAACAATGTTACTAATTCTTTAATAAAATAGCCCCTAAATGCCTAATACTATTCTTACCAATGATAGTATATATTAAAAATAATCCCCTTTCATTTGTTGCTTGTTTTAACTAGAGGAAGGAGACATGTAATTAAAAATAATAATAAACACATGATTTTCTTTGCAGTAATTTATTTTTTCATTCAATAAAAGTAAACATTTCTAATATATTTGGCTTGGAATTTTCTTTATTAGAGTATTAAATGGAAGGTAGCAAGTAGGACATGAGAAAGAATTCTGGGCACCAGCAAGTGGCATTTGGTTAAGGCACTAGACTCCCACATGGTTGACCATGATTCAAATCTCAGGTCCACCAGCTTTAAACTCACACTGAGCATGCATGCCAAAAATCCCGAGGGGTGAATGGAGAAGGGATTGTGGTGTGGCTATCCCCCTAGGGGATGATTCTTCACTTTCTGTCTCTCTATTTCTCTGTCTTTCTGGAGAGCACATGTACCAGTCAGCAAAAAAATCTCTCAAAAAAAAAAAAAAAAAAGAAAAGAAAAGAAAAAGAATTCTATTTCCATTAAATACATGGCATTTGGCTGTTAAAACCAGAATTCTGTTTCCGTTAAATACATGGCATTTAACTGTTAAGACTAGGATATGTACACTCTTGCCAATATCTCCTTTCTTACCAAATTGGATTGATTAATTCTTGGGATGGCAAACTGTTTCTCAAAAGGCAAGAAGATTGTGGGAATGGCTCATAATTTCTGACAAGGTCTAGTCTCTTTATTTCTTGTTCCATTGATTTTTTTTTCCCTTCAGTAGCAGACTATAGATCCATTCAAACTAGAGTTTTTCTCCTGGTGAGCCTGATAGAATTATGGATCTGTTATCTGCTTTCCAGTGTTGACTTCTCCAATGCTGCACTTGATGGCCTATGAAAGTAGGGATAGATCACAAACCTTTCATATACTTCAGTTTTTCATTTCTTTTGTTCTTTCATTTCTTTATTTGTTCACAAATATTTACTCGAGACACTATGCTGGTGACCTAGTACTCATTCATACAAGATTATATGTTGTAATACTATCAATCTTGGTAGGAGAAAATATGATATAAATAGAATTAGTATTATATAAATTGTATTGTGCTGAAATAATTACAATATTGAGGGCACTCATAGATATTAGAGATTTTAAGTTAAAATTGGTATTTTATGTTGATTAAAGGAATTTAATGGAACAGAAATAACAATATAACAAAATTGAGTATTGTCATTGTTATACAAAAAATGAAAAAGTGTTTAGTTGTTTTTTCCTTCTCCATTATTGATATCATCTTCCACGTTCATGATGTTTCCCTGGGAACCTCACATGTCTTGTCCAATTTTATCTTAAGAGTAGGAGCCAGATGGTAGGATAACAGTAAAACAAACTGCTCTTCAAGGTATTCCCACATGGGAAGGTTGCTAGTTCAAATCCAGAGACCACTTGGAATTTTCCAGGCCATGCTTACCCATAATCTGGGGCCAAATAAAGGCTAGGGTGGTTCAAAGAATTAGGACCCTATTTTGGGGTGCCATCTTTATTTCTCAATAAATAAATAAATAAATATAAATTCAAAAGATAACTACAGAATTAATAATAAAAGTCTAAAATATATCTAAGAGGAAGTACTATACTAGAAAGGTACTGTACTGGGAAAAAGTCTTCAGAGTTTGTAATGGTGTCAAAATATGTTTACGATAGTGTATGTAACCATCTTTTATTAGATGTATTTTCTTTCATGAAAGGAATATATAATTCTTTTTCTGATGTGCCATAAACTATTAACGCCATTTTAACACTCACCTTTAACTGCTAAATTTTCCCTACTAGCATAGAAGACTGTAAACACTTGACCTTGTGAACTGACTGTTTCCCAGCACCCATACATGACACAGAGGAGGAACTCAATGATTATTTGTTGAATGCTTTAACTCTTGGTACTATGCAATGACATGTTTCTGCAGTGGCTTACACAACAATTTTTACATAGGTTATCTCATTTGATTGTAATATCAATTTTGTGAGAAAGGTAGGACAGATACTGTATCCTATGAATAAAACTGCAGTTCAAGTGGACAGTGACAAAACTAGGGTAGGAGAGGGTCAAAGTCAATTGTCTTCATACAATCCCTGCTTCTTATTATTGTCGTTATGGGCAGTCACTATTCTAAATATTGTAACTTAATTATCTTATTGAACCCTTACCACAGCCTCTTGATATAGTGCTATTATTATCGCCATGCTAGAGATGAGGAAACTGGGGTACAACCAAGTTAGTTAGGTTATGGGAGAGCACACAGCTAGTGATTGTCATCAGTGGGATTTAGGCTTAAGCAGTGGGAGTGCACAAAGCTCTCAAGATAACTTTACCCCTGCTCCACAGTCTTTAGGATGTCCATTTTAAAAGTTTGTTAGTGTGCAAATACAAGCCAAATATGGTGATTTCTTAATAATTTTGTTAAATTATTTGCTATTATTGTAGCAAATGTTTTTTTTAATGTTTTTATAAGTTTATAAACCAGAGATAATTGTTGTCATAGATTATGGGTAAAGATAATACAGGAGGGGAAAAAAGAGAAAGCTGTAGAATAAGGTAGTCAGATAGGTTGCAAATATTGTAAGAGGCAGATTGACAGTTTCCTGTTATAGAATAAGACACCTCCCAGGTAATGGCGAATGAGTCTGAAAACAATTTATTCAAGGCAGTTGTAGATTCGTGAGGTCAGGGCATACTTTCTGTCTTATTAAAGGGTCTGCAGTAGGAGGAGCAACTACCACACGCCAACCAAATGAGATGATCATGCAGGGGGAAACATCTCATTCAAACCGAGCAGTGGGGCTTTTTCATCAGGTTCTAAGCTGCCTATATGAATATAAATGTATGGAAGTTCTGGGGATAAAACACTGTTCAGCTTGAGTTCTCCTCAACTGTTTGCTAAGGAATGCACCTCATCTTGATTGAAATATCTGCAGCAGCTGATAATACATGAAACAAGAAACTTAGAGATAGTTCTACTACTACTAAGTTGTTGTAAGTGACAGTATAAGGATCGCTTATGTGAGGTGAATACATTAAAATCAAAATAGTTCTAAATGGAGATTGACTTTTATATGCAAATGGTACCATAATGAAGTGAGGAAGGTAAAGCAGAATCATCAGCAATACTTTAATCTTTGAAAAACTAAAGGCTAACTTTCATGATGGCAAAATAATAGACCATTGGCTCTCCTCCATTTTTGCTGGTAGTTTTTGGAGTGGTGTTGGCCAAGTCACATCACCTCTAAATCATTATAGCCATATTAGTGATACTCTAGAAGTCAAATTATAAATCATATCTAACCGTATCTTGGTTAAATATGTGAATTTACCAAATCCTGCTTGTATTTTTCAAACATACAGATTGAAATATGTGTCTGATACATCATGGAACTACTTTAACATTAATTCTGTACCCTTTGTAATTGTGTTACTTCTGCAGTTATTCTTTTATTTATTTATTTATTTTTTTGGAGAGGTTTTTGCTATAGGGTGCGTGTGCTCGCCAGACAGACAGAGAGAGACAGAGAGACAGAAAGCGAGAAATCCCCCCCCAGGGGAGGATGGCCACGCCGCAATCCCTTCTCCTCCATTCTCCTCTCAGGATCTTGGGCACGCACCCGCTCCCGGCGTGAGTTTAAGCCACCGGGTCCGGGACTCGAACCACAGTTGGCTACAGGGGAGTCCAGTGACATAGCCATTATGCTAACTGCTGGTTCCTGCAGTTATTCTTATATGCATCCCAAATTATCTTTTCTAACACAGGTTTTCTTTTCTATAGAACAAATTGGCCAGGAGATGTTGGAAAACCTTAGTCATGACAGAGAAAAGATACAGCGAGCACGTGAAAGAGTAAGTACAAGTAACACATTCTTTTAACAAATTTACTAACTGAGAAGATATAAAATAAAAGATCTTGGGATTTACTTAGGCAGTAACAATTACTATCTTAGTATATGTAAGTATATGTGAAAAACGACAAGGCAGAGTGAGGAATGTAAAGTATGCAAAGAGCAAAAGAAATAGTGTGAAAGAAAAAAAGAAGCTTACTCTTCATATCCCCCATCCCAGAATAGCCCCAGGTGAATATTTTATTTAGCTCTATAGCTGAGGAGATGGTCATTCAGGAAGATTTTGGAGTATGTCAATCTTTCAGAGTGAAAGCTGTAAAAAATGTTGATGTCTCATTCATCCTCAATTCATTTGTATTTTCACAACTTTGTACTCTGATAAATCAGAGATTAATTACCAGATGTATATTAAACTTTGTCAGCCTATGAAACATTTATTTTTATATCCAGTTCAAGTATCCTGTCCAAAGCTCCTGAGGTTACCATTCACATGTCATTTTCTGGTTCTAAGAATTTTTGGTGTTTATATAGGTATCAGAAATGTATTTCTTTTCATGTAGTTATACCTGTCTTATTGTGTGGAGTTTCTATCATGAAATGAAGGCATTGCTTGTTATGCCATTATGCTAACTACATAATGAAATAATATAATTGCATGAAGTTTTGAAAATTTCTTTCTTCTCTCATTTTTTGAAGTTTTATTTTAACACTGGTATTTGTCTTCCTAGCTTCGGGAAACAGATGCTAACTTGGGGAAAAGCTCCAGAATTCTGACAGGCATGTTGCGAAGGTAAGAGCAAGGTAGGGACCTATCTTTCTCTCTTTCTCTTTCAGTCTTGTTTTTTCAAAACCTGTTTTTCATTCCATTGCAATGGGACATTTTAAAGGTTTGCAGTCTTCTGCTCTTAGTACCCTATGTCAAGATCCTTTTGTAATAACAGAGCACTAATATTAACTCTTGTTTGAACAGGAGCATATACTGAGTAACTCAGATTAAAGAGAAGATTTAAGCTAGGTGGGTTACCTCAAGCTATCAAAAAAATTAGGGTTAGATATTAAGAATTTTTTCACAGCCTGAGGAAGTCCCTGCTGCAGGAGCAGACTGATTTTATTTGCTATGTTGATAGCCTCCTTCTTATAGAGGGAATGCAGGCATGCCATTATCAGGAGGGACATGTTTGCAGTGAGCTTTGCTCTCTGTTGTTTTGGTTTCATTTCTTTAAGGATGCTGTTTGGGGAAACATGTCTATTTTTTGTGTATACTTAAAGATGATTTATAAAATCGAAGATTATCTAAATAATCTAAATTTGTATGTGCTAACAAGTAAGCATTTATGTTTTAAATCTGTAATTAAACTTTGATTGATGGGAAATAGTCAAGAGATAATGAAAAAAATAAATGAACGAGTGTAGTTGATATTCTATAAAAGCATATTCAGCATGGAGTTATGTTACATTCAGAATCTACTAAATAAAGCTATCATCTAGCATGGCCATCATTTTGGAACTGTGTATGGAAGTGAATGAGGCAAAGTAAATAAATAAATCTAACAAAAAAGTGAATGAGAAATATTGGCAATGGTCTCTAGAATACCTTAATTGAGATTTTAAAGAAGACAATCTTTACAGTTGATACTATAGAGACTTATTTAAAAGTAACTAAAATCTTTCCTGATCATGTATCCATATACATAATTTGCTAAAAGTTTATTTGCTGTGTATGAGATTCATCACATAAGAACCAATCAAATGTATAGTTTTTTAGTCTTCAAAGCCAGTGTGATTTCTGTATCAGTAGCAAACCTAAATTTTCTGGAACACTGCAATCAACGTTAACCTAACACCATATTAGCCTTCCTTTTCCTGGACATACCATCTCAACTTAGAACCTTAAACAACCAAATTCTAAGATTAAGAGAAATGTGTAGGGGCCAGCAGGTGGCTTGCTGGTTAAGGTGCCAGCCTACCACATATCTGACTATGATTCAAGTTCCAGACCTGGTGGCTTGCTTTCCCACTTTCCTTCTCTCTCTCTCTGTCCCTCTCTGGCCAAATTAAAATAGTAGTAATAATAATAAATAATAATAATAAATAAAATTAAATAGTTCTTTTTTTAAAAAAAGACAAATATGTAAAAACACAAGAAAAACTACATATTCACAGAGAAGGGAAGTGGCAATTGAAAGGAATGCTTCAGTGCCTATGGATAATAAAAAAGAAAAGGGAAAAAAACCTCTGTTGCTTGCCTGGGAGGGCCCCTGTGATGTGAGCTGCAACGAATATTCTGCATATGTCTCCATTTTGTCAAATCTCATTAAAGAGTCCTCCTGCTTTATGTCAATTGAGCTGTCCAGAAATCATTCATCATTTTTAGTGTAGAAAAATTATGTGGTTATTTAAATAATATCATATTAATGTTAAAGTTCAGCTGTCATTTAATAGTATGGCTTAATCAGATGTAGCATTTAGGAAAAATAGTTTATTCAGGCACTATGTGCCTTTCAGGTTGGCAGATTCAAATAAGGATTTATGGGTTTCTAAACCAGTGTATTTCTGTCCATGTTTCTGCTTGATGTACCTCACCCTTTAGTGCAAGACAGTGTAGACGGTTATTTCAACAACTAAAGCATCTCCTCATATTGTGTTTGAATAAATTTGCAAGTCATTTAGAAAGGGTGAAACACAAACAACTTCTGCAACCCTTTGACTGGGCTTTCTGTAGAGAAATCTTCCTAACGCAGTTGTTTCGGAAGCCTACAGAAGAAAATTACTCTGGTGAAATCTACTTGGGATTCTCTTTGTAGGCAAACACAGTCAATCACTGACTCATCTCCTTTTGGGATGTGTCTAGAGTATTAACAGAAATCAAAATCTCCAGATGGACATTATCTTCTGCTATGTCTGAGCCAACGAAACTCTTAAGTCCACCTATATCTGTATATATGACAGTATTTCTTACTAACCACAGCTGGGACCTTGTATCAGTCAAGATAATTAGTGTTTTTAATTACTGTAACCTAAGTCTGTAGGAGCCAAATGCAGGTGATGATTTTGTTTTAGTTTTGAATTTCTATTCCACATGATATTCAATTTATTTTAGAATTGGGAAAAGGCAAAAACAGTTTACCAAGGTCTTCATTATTTCATTTTATTCCCTAGAAAAGCAATCTCCAGAAAAATGGAGTGAAGGTTTATATACCAAAGCCTTTTATTTAATGCCCTGATTTTGCTTTCTCGGTTACATCCTTCCCATTTACATGGCATTTGCTTCCAGCACTGGTAAAATTTTATTTCAGAAAAAGAAGCCACAGTCTCTTATTATTCTTCTTACTGAAGCAGCATAGCTACATTAACAGGCGCTTCTGATTTAAGAAATATTATAATATTGAATCATATGCTCATCTGTCACCCTCACAAATGTGTAAAAGAAATTAGTGTTTACCTGCATACAATATGAGCTTATTTATTTTCATATGATAAATTCTGTGTGGCTCAGAATAGTTAAATACTCCACAATAAACCAAACCAAGGAATTATTTTATTTAAAAAAATTGTGGGTTGTTTTAACTTTTTTAACCTAGATCATTTTTAAATTTGTATACTGAACAGAAATGGTATGGCATGGCCCCTCATGTGGGTCATGTTAGTCTGGAAAGTGAACCGTCTGCCCTAAGGATAAGTCATACCATTGTTCTGTCAGTGCTAAGGTCTATACACATGTCCACTTGATCATCAGTAAAATTCTGGTCACCAGAGCAGATGGTGAAAATGAAAAATAAAAAAAAAATCAAGAAATACTATGTTTATAAAATCCAGCAACCACTAAATAACCTTCTACCATGCACTCTTTTTATTGTTTTATCAATTTCAAATAAGGCAAAAATCTATTTCCTTTCTTCCATCCTTTCTCCTTTCCTTCTTTTCTTCTTTCTTATGTTTATTCATTTACTAAGTCAATATTTTTTCCTGTATCCAGATATGGGGATCTTCAAATGAAGCAATTTTATCCCTGCCTTCAAAGTACTTGAGTGTAGTAGAAAATTTGTATATTGTGGGTGGGGCCAGCAGATGGTGTGGTAGTTAAGGTGTTGGACTCCCACATGGCCAGCCACATTTCAAGTCCTGGACCTGGTGGGTTGCTTTCTCAACTTTCCCTCTCTCTGTCTTTTTCTTTTTGTCTTTCTCTGATACACATGCCTTATAACAAAATTTAAAAATAATAATAATGATAAATAAAAGTAAATAAATAATGTTTTAAATGTGCAGTAGGAATTTATAAAATTATTTAATTCTCAAGGAAGCTATTGAGAATTCTGCAACAATTCCAGTTAATCCTTCTCGATCATTAAGCAGGGCACCAGAAAAACAACCAATATAAAAGAATTCTGCAACAATTCCAGTTAATCCTTCTCAATCATTAAGCAAGGCACCAGAAAAACAATATTATAAAGTATGACTTAAATAGCTATAAACTCAACATGTTTGAAAGAAAATTAGGGAAATTGATGATGATTTATGGAATTATAACACCAGCAAGTTTTGAAAAAAACTAAAATGTATAAAAAATATTGAGACATATCTAGTTTAGTGAGATATCAACTGATTCAACCAAAAAGAGATTATTATTCATGTAACTACAGTATATTACCACAAGAATATCAACTGATTCAACCAAAAAGAGATTATAATTTGTGTAACTACAGTATATTACCACAAAAAAAAAATAAGGAAGAAAATTGGTCCATTCAGAATTTTGATAGTAAAATTTGACATCAGAATACAGATATCGCTGATTGTCTGGAAAACCATTTTTCTTCTGTCCTGACATAAGATGGAAAACTACCTAGGGACAAACTGTTTATTTCCTGGCTCTGTAAACAGTTTTAAATAAAGCAGAATTCAGATGGTAATGAAAATGGTTATTAAGCAAGTCATGATGTGGAGGCTGGAACTAAGAAAATAGACTTTTTCATTGACTTTCACAAAGTTTGATTATTTTAATTGGTGTGACACAAATACCACTAGAAGGCTTAACTGTTTTTCTTCATTTACACGCATTAATGTGCACCTGTGTGTGTGTGTGTGTGTTTTCTGTACATTTGGGAAGTCTTAGATCAAATACTGCTGGTAATCAATGAAAATTAAAATAGAGATTTTCAAGATTTTTATTCGGAAAACAAAGAAGTTATTATCCTGTTCTTTTTACCTCTGAAAAGGTAATTATTGATCAGTAATATATATTTGTTTGTGAAAGTCAATATATTTGTTTCTAAAAGCATCTGAAGGATTCTTTGGGGAACGTAATGAAGTTATAATGTGCGCTCCTGTTGACATAAATTTGGAGGACATTTTGTAATATAATCATAGGTTGGCTCATCTGCTGTTAGTGTCTTTGCTGGCAAAAGACTTATAAAACAAAATGGCATGTATATTGTTTTTAAAAACAACACCTTCTCTTGGGCTGACCTGCAGTCTAGTGGTTAAGAGAGTCCTATCCCACATGGGTGACTGCAGTTTGAATCCTAGCTCTGGCAGATTGAGAAACACATTGGGTGCTTGTGCATGTGTGCCCCAAATCCCAAAAGGTGGAGAAAGAAAGGAAAAAGTATTGTGGTATAACTATGCCGCATTGGGGGATGCTTTCTTACTCTTTCTCCCTCCCTCTCTCTCTCTCTCACACACAAATCTTCTCTGCCCATAGACGAAAAAAAATCATCTTTTCCGTGTGATGATCTTCATATCAAATAATTTCCTCTCACCCCCCATACAAGCTGTGTTTGCCTTAACCAT